TACTTTTTTTACCACTAGTAAATAAAATTATAAAATATTACATTCTCTATTAAAATATTATCATTATTTAAAATTAATCACAAATATATTAAAATAACCGAAAGATAATTAATAATTTCAAAATTTAAACGTTAGGAACCCAAAGTTTAAAAACAATTACTCCCCTTGACGTTGATATTATCTTTATCCATCTGAACGTTGATGGGTTTGACGACAACATTGATGGTGTTCGAGTGGGGGTAGTAAAAACTTTCGGCCAGAACTCGGGGCGGTAAAATTGTGCCCCTTTCCTTCTGTTTTTTTACGAGTTTGGTTTGGTTGCCTCCCTTATCGTCGCCGTTTGGAGATTGAAATCCGCGAGAGTTCTTCCTCTTTGTTGCCTTTCTGAATTTGTCACCTCCAGCTCTGGCTAAAATATACAGGATGTATTTAGAAGACTTTTTGCTTAGAAACCGTTTTTTTTTTAAATTAAAAAAGGCTAGCAAGTAACATGTATTTTAATATTCAAGTAAATATGTTTTAGCAGTTAAAAAAAAATATTTTAATAAAGTTTCTACGGTCTTGAGAAGTAAGCTTTTTTTTCAACGGGGTGGGGTGGGGGAGGGCGTGGGGCACTTCAAACTTCGTAGGCCTACTGGTTAAAATGCTTATATTTAATTAGGTCTATATTTTCTCCCATTAAACCCGAGATAATGTTACCAACAACACTCCTATTTTTGGAAATGTCCATGGTAGAACCTCCTTTTTTTTTTTAAAGTTTTCATTGGTTATTCTAACAGTTTTTAATTCATCAACCCAATTTCACTTCATCCCCCCCCCCCCCCACATCAACGAGGGTTTTTGTTAGACATTTTTCTCCGGGAGTGTAGTCGATAGAAACTTCCAGGAGCGGGAGGGGGGAGGGGAGTTATGCAGAGGTGTAGCGACCCCTTCCGACGCCCGGGGACAAACTTTCAATTTGCCCCCCCCATATATTTTTAATATTTATAATTCAAAATAGCAGCTAAAATGAGCTTATTTTGGCGCCCCAAGGGTCGGCGCCTGGGGACATAAGTACTCCCCGCCCGCCCCCGTCGCTACGCCTCTGGGGTTATGGGCAAACAATGGTAACATTATATATTTTTTTAAAGTAACATTTTTTCTATTCGGGTGGTTGTGGATGTTCTCCGAGTACACCAGGCCCCCCTCCCCCACAGAGAGACGCCATAAACACAGCACTCAACGTCAACAAAACCACGTGACGTGGGGGTGACCTACTCTCGGTTTCCGCCTCGCTCGGCATGTCGACACTGTCGCTGGGCTCCCGTTTCCGCCCTTTCTTCACCCCCTCGCTCTTCGCCGCTCCTGATTTTCTGCCGTCGTTGGTTTGATCGTCTTCTCCAAGCGTCAACATCAACAACTGCTCGAACGCTTGGGAAACACGTAGAATGTTCGATTTACTGCGGACTAGTTCCTCATCTTCCTTCTCGTCAGTGACATTTATAGACGGGCCAGTGGGTGCTGTGAATATTAAGGAGTCGTCTGCTTCGATCTGTTCACCCCCTTTCTTCGGTTCGTCGTCTGCTTTCCAGGTATTGTCGTCTGGGTTTGGGTATTCGTTGGACAGCCTGTTGTAGTCTTCAAGGGTTCTTTCGAATTCGTCTTCCGGGTGCGACTTTTTAAAGAATAAAAAATACAATGATTTATAAAATATGTTATGATAAAATAATAGGAAATCAGGTCCCAGAACACACAGTGTTTCTTCCAGACTTTTTTCTTAGGGGGGGGGGGGGGGAGGGGGCACTGGTAAAATTATATTTTTTCTATATACATTCCATGAGAACACATGGGTCCTTATTTGTAAAATAAGTTGCCTTTGCTGCAGGGATGATTGAGAATGCGCTAGGTGTCCATAAGAACTTTGTTTGGTATTATTCGTCCATTTAAAAAATCATAATTATAAGTGATGAACATGAGATGAATAATTGTAAAATAGATTTTTCCACTTTTTAACGTTCTTTAGTTTTTGAGTTTACAATTTAAAAAATGAAATATTTTTTTTCGTGTGTTAAAAAAAATGGCCTATTTACTTACCGGTCTCGGTAGCGGAATGGTTTCTACTTCGTTGTCATCTCTCTTTTCATCCTCATCTTTCTCTTCCTCTACTCTCTCTTCTTCATCTTTTTCCTCCCCACCTTTCTCTTCCTCTTCTCCCCCCTTCTCTTCGTACTTTTCCTCCTCCCCCATATCATCCCCGCCCATCCCTTCTCCCCCCTGAGCCACTTGGCACACTGTGGTTTCTGTAAGTGGAACGATCCAGTTCCCAGGAAACGGCTTCTCCAAACAGGGTAGCCCGCCCACAGAGAAGGCATCCCCACCCTCGCCGCTGCCTCGAGCGCCAGACTTCTGCTCTAAGACATGGATTTTCACGTCTGCTTTCAACCCCTCGGTCTTCTGAACGAGTGGTTCTTGGATAGTTCCTTCCCACGCTGAACAAGTGGATTCGGTTCGAATCTCAGCTGAACCCAACAGCTCGAAAATTTTATTCACCGATTTCACCGCTTCCATTTGATCGTTGACGGAGGAGATCGCCTCTACGTCATCAAGCGTGTTGCAGACGTCATCGCTATGGATTTCCTTGACGTCACGTCTCTGGTTGAAGTTTCCTGTACTGGTGTCGTTGCCGTCTTCATCTCCATGTTTAACTTTGACGAAAGTATCGTCGAAAGTAGCCAGTGTATCGTGGACTGAACTTGGGTCCGTCTTTTCACTAACCCAACTTCTTCGTAACCCAAACCCTTGGTCATCTTCCACAGCGAAGTTAGAAACAACCGGCGCTTGGGTGGTAGATATGATATCATCCTCTGGTACGTTTGTCAAATTGGCGAATTTATGACCCGTTTTGAACATTTTAGATTTGACGTGTCTTTGCTTTTTCTTCATGGACGTTCGCGGAGTTTTCGTTTGCGAACTTCCGTTGTCAGATTCCGTGGAGGACGGAACGGCTGCGTTGTCGTCTGCCTGCTCTGCTGTTTCTTGTTTACGGTTGCAGAAAAACGCCAGCCGTAGCTGACGTAGCCTCTCACGTTGGTCTTCGCTGTTGGGATCGCCGGGGATCGGGGTCAGCTCTTTGGGGTTCAGGTGTGAGTCTACAGGCCTGACCCCAGTCAGCGCGGGAAGATTGAGTTGGGGTGCGCGCGAAGAAAGATCTCGACCTTCTTCTGAGGATCTAGCTGCGCCTATAGCTGGGAGAGACAGCCGCGGTTCTAGCTGGGATAGGTGTACTCTCCTATCCGCTGTGTCGCTGATCTCAAACAGGGAGGTGTGTACCCCGGGGAGGGGGACTGGTAGAATCTTATCGGCCGCAGTTTCTCTGGTTGTGGCTAGAGATTCTTTAACACTTGTATCTACCGACAGAGGAATGTGTGTTCTCTCTGGCAATTTAAACAGATCATCTTTCTTAACGCTTGTATCGGTGTCATTTTCAGCGTTGGTTGTTTTTCTATCGGCATCTGTTGACTTGATGATACTCGTTTTAGATCCATGCTGTTCTGTAAGCGAGGTCGATATCAGTTTGGTGTCATTACAAGGTAATTCATGAGCTTCTGTTGTTAAATTTGATTTTAATTCTTCCATTTGTGAATGTGACTTCACGCTTTTCAAAGAAGATTGTAGTTTGAGTTTTTCATTTGTGGACTTGTATTCACTTGTTTGTGTTTTCGTTTTTTCTTTCTCCGCTGTAAAATCGCTACCGCTTGTACCCTTGATGTATTTTTCTTCCATTTTCGTTGATTGGTTTGTTGTGTTGGAAAGGGAAACGAGCGCAGATTCTCGCGCATGCGCAGTTGTAGTGGTGGTGCTCCGGTAAAAACTGGTCTGTGTTGTCGTTTCGTTAACGTACGGCAACGCGGATGTACTTTCACTTTCAGCGTTTGTGGATTTCAACGTATAACCTGTGGTTTCGGAAAGTAGATTCGCAACTTTTTCTGACGTTTTTTCTGATAGTTGGTAGAGGTTTGTCTCTAAGTTTGTGCTTGTAGTTTCAGGTATACAGTCCCCAGTCAGAACAGCTAGATCTGACGGGAAGTCTGCGCTGCTACATTGAATGCTTAAGTTGTTCAGTAGAATTTCTTTCTGTGGGGGTAAGGTCGTGAGGGTCGACCTTTGACCTATTGCTGTGAACTGACCACAAGTTGACCACGGGGACGTCTCGTCTTGTGCATCGTCTGAGTGGAGACTTGTGCGTGTAGCTCTGAGGCTGTAGGAGGGAATAAAATCTTGGCTTTGGCACTGGACGCTCAAAGTTCTACCAAGTTCTGGAACTTTATCCTGACTTGATGCATCCACTGTTACGATAGACGAGGAAACAAAATCTTGGCTTTGACACTGGATGCTCAAAGTTCTGGCTGGTTCTAGAGTTTTTACCTGAAGAACACCACTACGGCCACTGGTTGAATTGTCCTTCATCTGACCACACGTATCAGAATGGTAACTCGATTCTTTATCCGAATACGTGCCGCTTGCAGTGTACAGTTTCATGTCTAAAGGTGTCAGAAATGAAATAGAGCTGAGCGGCTCCAGGTGGCACTGTACGCCATCGGACTGCATTTTGTCAACAGAAACCACGGGATCGGAAAAACTGGTTTTTAATTCCCCGCTAGAACATTGTACACAGACAGAGGCCATGTTTTGAAGCGAGGTAGTTCCCGTGGGGTACGACGTTTTGTGTTTAGAGCGAGAGCCAGTGCTGTAGGAAGTTTTATCAGAACTTGATTTCGTTTGTGGCAGCTTGTTAGTCTGGAAGCGCAGTGGACGCGCGATTCTTTGATCCGTGACGATTGGTGGCTGTACGGAAGGGGGCGGGGCTTGGCTTAACCGTGACGCCCGCGAGCCTGGCTGGCTGCGCTGGGGACCGTTTGACATCGAGGTCAAGGACGCTCGGATGGTGTCGTCACCCATGCTGACGGACCTGAACTCACCCACGGGTAAAGTCCCCTCCTCGGAAATATTCTCACACGGCGGCCTGAAGCTTGTCTTACTTTTTACAGTTTCACAAAATGAATTCTGGACACTTTTAGACTGGAAGAAAACCTCGGTTGACATTTTCGTCGAGGTGTTGTCGCGGCCTGCTTCACCTTGACCTTCAGTTCCGAGGCTCGGAAAACGGTCTTGGTTTTTCATGGCGGCCGGTGCGTCAGGTGACAGTTTTTCCCGGTCGTTGATTGGCCAGTTGATCTCTCTTTGTTGACGATCGTCTGCAAGAGAGAATCTGGAGATCTGCGCACTTTCAGATCGCATCATTACCTTGGACATGCTGCTGGCAGAGTTTGTGGACTTACGGGATTTGTTCCACAGCACTGAATCATTTCTCGAATCGCTTCTCATCTGTTTATGTTTACTATCTTCTAACTTGTACGCTTCTGGCGTTGTTAAAGTTTGAACGCCGTTTTTAAAGTGTGTTTGGTCACAGTTTTCTTGTAGAAAACTGTCGTTAGACTCGGTCACGCAAGTTAATTTACTTTTTGACTCTTCTTCGTTTATTTTAAGAAGTTTTGAACTTCTTGACCTCGACGTCTCATTATGAATTATTTGATCTTTTCCTGTATCACTCGGCAATGTTTTATCGATTATTTTTACATCAGAGCGTTTGCTAAACACGGAGGAATTAATCTGCAGGCTACATGAGATGAGTTCATTCGTGCTGCCTTCCTTGTTTGTCTGCCTCGCGCTAGACGTCCGGCTATTCAGCCTCGCGCTAGACGTCCGGCTATTCAGCTTGGCGCTAGATGGTCTCTGAATAGCCGGGTCGAAGCTTGTGTTCATGCTAGCCGACACCAATTCAATCACCGACTCCGCGGTGCTCCACGAGTTTCTCGAACGCCCCCTACGCGGTGGGTTCATCTTCCGGGTCTCGCCAGCCTCGATTTGAGGCTGAGGCTCCACCTCCACTTCGATAAGCTCAATGTTTTCAGGCGAAGGGCTCTCTGCTGAGACTTCATGCTCGGGTTTAGCGTTGAAAAATCTTGAAAAAATCGGAGGTTTGTCTAGTTTTTGTTTATAACGAGGGAGGTCGAACTCTTCAGGATTTTTATCCCTCCAGAAGAAATTACCTATATCAAATTCGGAGCTCGCAGCGAAGCGAGACCCCGTCTTGAAAGTCACGTGATTTTTCTTCGATGTGAGGTTGTTCTGGCAACACTTCCAGGCGCTGTCGGCTGCTTTCTTTTGTTCCAGGACTTCTGCTACTTCCTGAGACCCCGCGAGGTGCCCACTGTACAGCGGTTCCATTTGGAGCTTTGGGGTGTCTTGCTCATCAAGAATCTTCGCATCCGTTTTTAACTGACAGTCCTGGAAGTAAAGTAAAACATCCAATGTCAAATTTACTGAAAGAAAACTATTACATTTTAAACTTATATTGTTTTACAGATAGTTCAAATAATTATAACACTTAGCTACAACAAGGTAAACAATTTTTACAATAAATAATGTTTATGCTTATTTTGGTATTCAACCGAGCTACAAGTTTGTGGTCATCCACGATGATTTTTTTCGACGGTTTCTAACTCCCCCATCCCCACCTCATCACAAAAATAAATAAATACAGACTCCTAACCCTAAATTGACGCCACACCGCAGCCTATGACCCCCCCCCCCCCCTCTCTAAAAATAGCATTGTTTTTTTAAACATAGAGTTCTTTCTAAAAAATATTTTCTGTGCTCTGTCAGCATTGAGTACAATTAACCAATTTCTATCAGCATTTGTAAAAACAGCCTTTGCTCCCATGGCCGTTGTCCACTCAAGAACAAACTACAACGCAGCAGTTCTTTATATAGAGGCCATTCTGCGTGGGGGTTTGAACTCGAGACTTTTCGGTTTAGTTTTACCGACCCGTCCACGCCGGCCTCCGTTGATCGCTTGACGGTTTGGAGTTCAAAATACGTTTGAAAAGTTACCGTGCTAGACAACAAACACCAACACCACCAACACCGCCACCGCCGCCACCACCAACAACAACAGCAACAACAACAACAGCAACAACACTACCACCACCAACAATAACACCGACAACACCAACAACAACACCAACAACAGCAACAACAACACCTACATTACCACCACCAGCACCACCAAAAACAACACCACCACCACCACCACCACCACCACCAACAACAACAACACCATCACCACCACCACCACCAACACCTACACTACCACCACCACCACCAACAACAACAACAACACCATCACCACCACCACCATCATCAACAACAACACGAACAACAACACCACCAACATCAACAACACATACACTACCACCACCACCACCAAAAACAACAAAACCATCACCACCACCACCACCACCAACATCTACACTACCACCACCACCACCACCACCAACAACAACAACAACACCATCACCACCACCACCATCAACAACAACAACACGAACAACAACACCACCAACATCAACACCACCACCACCAACAACAACACCATCACCACCACGAACAACAACAACACCATCACCACTACCACCACCACCACCAACAACAACAACACGAACAACAACACCACCACCACCAACACCAAAATCACCACCGCCACCACCAACAACAACAGCAACACCATACCAGCAGCACCACCACCACCACCAATAACACGAACAACAACACCAACACCACCACCAACAACAACGAACCACTGCTTCACCACCTGCGTCTAGAAAGATGGTGAAGCCGTGAACTGCCTCTAGAAAGATAAAGACTGTAGTTTCATACCTGTGCAGGGATGGCTGTGTTGACGGCGTCACGTGATCCGTCGCTGGTCACCTGACTCCCGCCCCACCACTCGGAGCTGGAGCCGGTCACGGTTGTGTGGTCAGGGTCATCGAAGTCCGAGGTGTCGTCTGACTGGGTCACGTTTTCCCCCAGCTCGCTATAGGAAAGGGATTTGAACGTGGTGCTACGGTTAGTGAGATGATGGACTTAGTAAATGGTGTCTCCCCTCTACACATATAGTGTCTGGTAATGTTTTTAAAAAATGTTAAAGTTTGTACTTAGTACTTGGTGTCCCCCCCCCCCCCATACAATATATCTTTCTATGTAAATAAAAATATTAGTTTTTGCACTTTGTTGTTGATGTGTTGTAGCCCCCCCCCCTCCGCCACACACGCAGTATCTATTCAATTTATATGTTTAGCAAAGAACCGTATGGACAGAAACTGTACATACTACTACTAGGTAAACTATGGGCGCTAGACTGGTATAATCTATGGGCGCTAGACTGTTGTAAACTATGGGCGCTAGAGTGTTGTAAACTGTGGGCGCTAGACTGTTAACCCGAAAGTCTCGAGATCCGATATGGTAATCAAGTCAGTAGAACGTCCTTGAGTCTATCCAGCTCTAATGGGTACCTGACTCATGTTAAGGAAAACAAAGGCGACTGGGCATAGTGCTGACCACACAATCACTTCATATGCCCTATTATAAATCGCGAGGTCCGATTTGTGAGGTCTTAGATTTGTCTGTAGGGCCTAGAAACGACATCTAAAACATTCGTAGTATAAATCAAATTGCAACTTTTCGATTAAATTTGACAGCTGCTCTAGATTATCAAATAGGACGGCGTGGCTTTGCACTAGACTGCTAACCCGAAAGTCTCGTTTAAATCTGGGTTCAAGTCAGTAGACCTCCCTGAGTTCACCTAACTCTGATGGGTACTTAACTCACGTTAGTGAAAGTAAAGGCGGCTGGGCATAGTGCTGACCACACTATCTCTACATATGCCGAGGTCACAGAAACAAGTGAACTCTACTTCACTTGCTCTATGAACCGTCAGATCCTGAAAAAGGAACCAAATTTGTACTTACAAACGATCAGTTACCTGAGCTCACGTGACACCCCAGCGGCGCCCACGCCCGGGCAGCTTTTAGCGCCCCCTATGTGATTGGATATTGACGCCCTGGACCTGTTTCCTTTGTCGTCGCGACCTCCGCCGACTAATTCCCCTTCCGGAAAATGCCGGTTCGTTTCTGACGCGCGCGTCGGGGATTTTCCATGGAGATAAGCGCCTTGTTGGGGAGTGGTTGGAGCAGCTGTAGCGAGGTGAGCGTTTGGTTGGTGGACGAGCTGATGGTACTTCCGGTCGATGCTGGGGGTTTTCGCTTCATGGCTGCTGGGCCCGCCTTTGCTTTGGTTGATGTTGATGTCGGTGACGTGTTGAGGGTGTGAGGGGGTGTGGGGTTGTGTGGGGGGTTCCATCAGGGTGTCTTGAGCTTTTTGAGGACATGTCAGTGCTAGTTCTTGTTCTGGGTAGATGTTTTCTTTTATGTGAATGGGCTTTTGTGTGATGTTTTCTTTTATGTGAATTGGCTTCTGGGTAATGCCAACATCTTGTTCCATCGGCCTCTGTAAATCATTTTGTTCCATCGGCCTCTGTATGACATTTTCTTCCATCGGCCTCTGTATGACATTTTCTTCCATCGGCCTCTGTGTTGCCTCGATGTTCCTTTTCCTCTCCTCCGAAGACAACTCAGCCTCGTTTTGACTGTGGCTGTTGTTGCTTACGTTTTTTCCGCTCTCCATCAACATCCTGACGTCATCAGACACCCCCTGACCCCCACCCGCCATTTTGTTTAGACGTCTCTTCTCTTTAACTTTCATGGTGGCCATCTTGCTGTCGCTCACGTGTCGGACATGACCTTTGACACAAGACACGCCTTCATTTGTCACGTGGGAGCTGTGAGGTCAATTAAAAAAGTTCACACATTTTGTAAACACGGCGTGTTAAAAGCGGACACTTTAACTATACTGAAGTTAAAAAAATATATGATTTATGTAGCATAAAAAAAATCGCTTACTTGGCACGCCCGTGTACGCTCCTAGAAGGCTGCCTGACTGGCACAGAGCATGTAGGCTGAAAAGAATCTCATTTTGTGGCCAAATTTGTTAATTTATCAAGTTGATTAAAAAAAACAAAAACAACAACCACACAGCTATATTATCGTTTTTTTAAATTCCATATTAATGTAACGATGATGGCTATCTTTATTCTTTTTAAAAAAATATACATTAAATTAATTTAATTTTTTTTTTTGCGGCTGAATAAATAAGAAAATATTGCGACCAAAAATATAGCTATTGACGTTTTTTGTGTGTGTAAATTCTATATTAATATAGCGATGGCTATATTTATTCTTTTAACAAATATAACTTACATTAATTTTTTAAAATATTATTTTGCGACTGAATAATGAGAAAATAATGCGACAAAAAAAAACAAATACCAACTTTTGATTTAAGTTTAGCATTGTTATTTGTATTCCTCTTGTGTTTCAGTCGGGAATTGTGACTAGCGCCTTCATTATCTGAACCCCTCTCCCCTGTGTCTCCGACCCTGTCCACGGCGCACCCCTCAGGTTCCACAGCAGTGGTCACTCCGATGTTGACTGGACACGTGACGCCTGGAACACCAGGTTCAACAATCTCGCCCTCCTTCAATGGAGAGTTGAGTTGGTAATAAAATGTGTCAAAGATTTCATAAGCGACCAATTGCCTTTAATAAAGCTAGAAACATGATTCTATTTTCTTATTTTCTGTGCTTTTAAAAAGATGATACACAGGTTTTTTTTACTTGGTTTATTTTCTAACCCTGAACCCTAGCACCCCACAATTTTGACGCGCCCTAACCCTAAACCCCAGGACCCCACAATTTAACCTGCCCCAATCCTAACCTGAGCAGACGTCGCTCTCAGAGCCACACCCTGCAGACAAAGTTCCCCGAATCTCAGGTCCGGATCTCCGAACCCCATGTGACCATCTGAAGCTTGGCTGGGGACAGAGATGGTTGGGGTGGGGGAGGGTGGGGGAGGGAGGGATGAGTTGAGGGAGGTAAGTATGTCTTAAGTTGTCGGTATTGGTTAATCGGATCTTATAATTACCCTAAGAAAGTTACAAAAACAAAATGGCGATAGAAACCATATTACGGGGTGGGGTATATATTATTTATTTACATTATTATAAATTTATATATTTCCGATTTCTTTCTGGATTGGGAGACACTGATTTAGGTATATATCTGTATAACTTATTATAAATGTTAGATCTTTTCGCTTTCATTCTTGGTGGAGGGGGGGGGGTGGTTGCACATGCATTGGGAAGGGGTCGGGCGCTATGCCTAAGAGAAACTGTATGTGCAGGATAAAAATAGGTACTAGATCTAGATCTATGTAAAACATAATCTACATTATACATACTATCATGCGAACAAGCATGAGTAACACCTCCAGTGTGCTGGAGTCAGGTGTGGAGGTGGGGGGGGGGGGGGAGTGGACGTTTCGAGGGAGGGGGGTATGCGTGAGAGAAACTGCAGGATAAAATAGGTACAAGAATCTTGATCTAGATTCTAGATCTAGATCTAGATCTGTTTTAAAAAATCTACATTCTAAAATCTACATATTTTGTGACAACAAGCACGTATAACAAAAATAGTACATCCCCATTACTGTGACTGGCCCCAACACATAAAATCCTTACTAAACGCATCAAGGCTCCCTCTAGGCACCCAACGAATCAGCCGCCAGACCTAACGCCCCCCTGGTCGGGGGGTGGGAAGCGATCACCCAGACCTCCAGACATTGCGGAAGTTTTCCTGATGGAAGTGCATTGACCCCTTTGTTTTTGTTTGTCTGAACTTCATGGTGCTGAACGGTGCGGAAGTGTCGGCGAGTTCAACTCACGCGCACTTAAAAAAAAAAGATACGCCTAAATGCCAATAAATAATCCTACTTTGTACTTAACTAGATTTTTCTCCTTGTTTATTGTTTGTTCTAAAAAAAAAGGAGGAACAAAATTTCCCAATAAAAACAAATAAATATCGTGGCTGTACTAAACATTACTTATTTATTTACAACGAGCCGACCCGCGGTGTATCATACGCCGCTATTTAGTTAGTTTGTGAATTCGACAGTACCAATGCTGGGGGTGGGGGTGGTAGCGATGGAGAGGAAGAGAGGGGACTGCAAGGGGAGCGCTTGCAGCTTGTTTTCTAACGGCTCCCAGAAGAGAATTATATATACGAGCCGACCCGCTGCGTATCATACGCCGCTATTTAGTTTTTTTTTTTCTACTTTTCAGTAATTTATAATTTGTGAATTCGACAGTACCAATGCTGCCACTGAAAATATTTGCTTAAAAACACTAAACACCCCTCCCCCCCCCCCCAACGTGAAAACAGCCTCCTCTTAGTTACCTCCTCTAAGTTTAAAATAGTTTCAAACTGAATTATCTGCCCCTAATAGCCGTCACTAAACAGTTAGCGTGAACTACAACTCATCTGACCATGGGTGGGGGTGGGGGTGGGGGGGGGGGGGTGGGGGGTGGTAGCGATGGAGAGGAAGAGAGGGGACTGCAAGGCGCGCGCTTGCAGCTTGTTTTCTAACGGCTCCCAGAAGAGAATTATATATATAGACGAATCAGTGTAAAGTGTGATATGTTTTCGGGGTATTTTAATTGTACGTGAGAGGGGTTACGTTAACTCTATTGTGTGTATGTTTGGCGGTCTCGTTCATGAGAAGTACATGAAGATGGGTGTCTCTAGGGCCAAACAAATTCATTGAATATCTAGACATACAAGGAGATGGGTGTCTCTGATATGAATAATTAATTACCAACATTTTCAGCATTAAATACAAAAAATTAATGATGTTTTCGGCTTAATTAACTCAATGAGTCCAGATTTAACAGCAGTTACAGTATTTCCTTTGCCTAGAAAAAAAAAAACAATTATTTTTCACATAATTAACTAAATCAGAAGGAAAACAGCACGATAAAAATATTTAGAGAAAAATATTGGAGAGAGAGGGGGGAGGTGGAGGCAAAGTGTGACATACATTATGAGTCTGACGTCATGTGACGATTGAAAGCAATAATAAAAACGAGCCGACCCGCGGCGTATAATACGCTGATATTTAGTTGTTTTATTTTCTACTTTTCAGTCAATTATAATTTGTCAATTCGACAGTATCAACGCTGCCACTGAAAATATTTGCTTTAAAACACTAACAGTAGGCCGTTAAGGACGATACCCCCCACCCTCCTTTCCCCCAACCCAACCCAACCCCTACCCTACACCCCCACCCCCGTGAAAGCAGCCTCCACTTAGTTACCTCCCCTAAGTTTAAAATAGTTTCAAACTAAATTATCTGCCCCTAATAGCCGTCACTAAACCCGGCTGTACGATTGTAAACATTTAGCGTGAACCACAGCTCACCAGACCATGTGGGGGTGGGGGAGGTTGCGATATGCCTAGAGAGGAAGAGAGGGAACTGCTAGGCGCGCTTACAGCTTGTTTTCTAACGTCTCCAAGAAGAGAATTATATATATAGATACAGATTAAACATTCGCTATTCTTTTAGAATATTTAATTACTCCCTATTTCGTTGTTTTCTATAACTAAGTTATTTAAATGTAAACAATGCCTTTGCTTGGATTATATTCATCGGGGAACGTTTTTACCCACATTACCGCCCATGAAAGCGTTGCGTGTCAGTTAATCACTGACCGTAGTATCACCGATAATCACTCACCGCCTAAGTGCCGGGGATGAAAAGTGGCGCTCTCTTCTAACCAACTCCCGAAAGTTTTATGGCGATCGGATGAATGAATGGTGTCTATCCGCAATCGACTTTTATTTTTTATATACCGTATACAGAAAAGAATCGAATCGCGCTATGCGGGGCGCCAACCCTGCGAATTAGACTTTTTTTTTCCGCAGATACCTCTCCAAGAGTATTTTCAACAACTTTTTAAAGTTTCATGGCCATAGGATGAAAGGCGTAGTAACGAGTATATATGATCATAATATTGAATTAAAAATTATAGTGGCTCTTTAAAATCTGGAAAATGTTGTAAATTGTAACTTTTGGCTCTGCCGTCTTGAAAGGTTGCCGACCCCTGATCTAGGGTATCCAAAATTTAATTGAATTACCATCAAAACAGTCAACAGATAATTGTATGTCATTAGAATTGAATAGAAGTATGTTATAAAAAGCTACGGTTTTTAGACTTTTAAACAAAAACTACAATTAAGTATTCAATAGTTAAAATATATTGTTTTCACAAGGTTACATAGCTAATATAAAATATTTATTATAATTATTACATAATGAAGTTTAAAGCGATTTTCTGTGTTTTTCAAGCATGTCTTAGTTACACTTAATTGATTTAGCTATTTTTGTGAAAGCTATTTCCCTTGAAATAAATTTTGGCATTTGGATTTTCAAATGGGAGATAATTCATTGCTTAACTTTACATTCATTACAAATTTAAGCACCTTTGGTTGACCGCTTACATATAAATATAACTTTAAGTTATTATTTGCTATTGTAAAAATTATATAGGGCTTAATTTCTAAACAAAATAGTTTGTTAGGTGTTTTAGCATTATTAAGTTGAAAAACAAATACATCAGTAGCCGATGTAGATTGCAATACTTAATGTTAGTAGACATACAGTCTTAGTCGTAAATTAAACATCTAATTAGTTGTCTTTTCATATTTTTCACTCTCTCCTAAAGGATTCATATATAACAATTTTAGGCTGGAATCTATAACATTTGGAACTCACCTTGGGAGAATTTTATTTCAGTGTTATTTTTCCAGACTCTTTTCTTTTTTGCCGGGGGGGGGGGGGAAGGGAAGCGCTTAAACTCCTTTTAAGGGGGGGGGCTATGTCGTAAAGTAGACTCGTGGACTTAGCAACAATTTCAATATAATGAGATCAGAGGCGTAGCGAGGGGGGGGGGTGCGGGGGGGGGGGGGGACATATGTCCCCGGGCGCCGACAAATTGAAAGTTTGAGGGGGGGGGGGTGCAAATGAAAAGTTCGAGGGGGGGGGGGTGCAGATCGCAAGTTTGAGGGGGGGGGGGTGCAAATGAAAAGTTCGAGGGGGGGTGCAAATCGAAAATTTGCTCCCGAGGGGGGCGCCAAATTGAAAGTATGTCCCCGGGCGCCGGGAAGGGTCGCTACGCCTCTGAATGAGATTATGCTTGCAAACTGGAATTGACGGAATTAGTACAATCTTTTGAGACGAAGGAGGCAAGTAAAATTTGATTTTGATGTCTACTTATAACGTGTATGCAATTGATAATAAACTAATATGTCACTTTTAATTGTTTTCTTACACATATGTTTTAGTAATTAATTTGTGATAACGGGGGCGTTTTAATAAGTTTTGCCTAGGGCGCTAAAATACCTGGCGCCGGCACTGTTTATGGAAGGCATCCATAAAAAAAACAACAACTCCATGTTTACGAGTACCAATTTATTCCAGATATGCGACCATGACAACCACATACAATATCGCCACATACATGAAACATTAAATCGTTGTTGAAAGTTATCTCTCTTTGAATATTCGATGATGAATTGTTTTCCAAAATGGCTACTCCCCCCCCCCCTTTTCCCTTTCACTTCCCACAATATCACGTGACACAGGTTAAAGGACGGTGCTACGTTTGAATGTGTTCTGGTATCTGTCGTCAGCCTCTTTCGTCATAGATGTGTTCCAGGGTGGGTTCAAGGCTCGTCTCTCTATGATGTCTCTGTCGGGATCAATTGTGGGAATAGTCATTGAGAGAAATTAGTTGTTTGAATAGTCATTGAGAGAAAGTGGTTGTTTGAATAGTAATTTAGAGAAAGTGGTTGTTGGAAATGTAATTAAGAGAAAGTAGTTGTTTGAATAGTAATTTAGAGAAATTAATTGTTTGAATAGTAATTGAGAGGAAGTAGTTGTGTGAAAAGCATTTTAGAGAAAGTCAATTGTTAGAATAGTAATTGAGTGGAAGTTAATTGTTTGAATAGTAATTTAGAGAAACTAGTTGTTTGAATAGTAATTTAGAGAAAGTAGTTGTTTGAATAGTAATTTAGAGAAAGTAGTTGTTTGAGTAGTTATTTAGAGAAAGTAGTTGTTTGAATAGTAATTTAGAAAAAAGTAGTTGTTTGAATAGTAATTTAGAGAAAGTAGTTGTCTGAATAGTAATTTAGAGAAAGTAGTTGTTTGAATAGCATTTTAGAGAAAGTAGTTGTTTGAATAGTATTTTAGAGAAAGTCGATTGTTTGAATAGTAACTTAGAGAAAGTAGTTGTTTGAATATCATATTGGAAAAGTTGTTTAAATAGTATTTTCGAATATAACGTTAACAATGTCATATTTTAAATATCTTATCTAAGAATAAAGAACATCAAGTAATTTTTTATTGTATCAAGTATATATTTTTGACTAATGTACTGATTATTAACTGAATTGTCTGTATCTTTTACTGTCTGTCTTTAAGTAGCTTTACGAAAAGGAACATTGAAACATATATAGTCAAATAGAGGGGAACATGGACTCACCTATGTAGCTATGGGGAACATGGACTCACCTATGTAGCCTTATAGAGGGGAACATGGACTCACCTATGTAGCTATGGGGAACATGGACTCACCTATGTAGCCTTATAGAGGGGAACATGGACTCACCTATGTAGCTATGGGGAACATGGACTCACCTATGTAGCCTTATAGAGGGGAACATGGACTCAACTATGTAGCTATGGGGAACATGGACTCACCTATGTAGCTATGGGGAACATGGACTCACCTATGTAGCCTTATAGAGGGGAACATGGACTCACCTATGTAGCTATGGGGAACATGGACCAACCTATGTAGCCTTATAGAGGGGAACATGGACTCACCTATGTAGCCTTATAGAGGGGAACATGGACTCACCTATGTAGCTATGGGGAACATGGACTCACCTATGTAGCCTTATAGAGGGGAACATGGACTCACCTATGTAGCTATGGGGAACATGGACCAACCTATGTAGCCTTATAGAGGGGAACATGGACTCACCTATGTAGCCTTATAGAGGGGAACATGGACTCACTTATGTAGCTATGGGGAACATGGACTCACCTATGTAGCCTTATAGAGGGGAACATGGACTCACCTATGTAGCCTTATAGAGGGGAACATGGACTCACCTATGTAGCCTTATAGAGGGGAACATAGACTGTGGGCGCCTCTTCAAGTGCAGACGCCTGGTTTTGGTGCGAGGGCTTGCGTCTGGCATCTCTGTGTTATGTACGTGTACCTGCAGGGTGAAGAGTTTCCTGAGTAACCTTTGGGACATGGGAGGCAACTCCAGTAGATGGAACATTTAGAGTTATTTAGTTCATACATAAGGAAATATACGTGTGTCGTAAACGTGTAAAAAGTACCCCTTCAAATCTTAAGGTTTACAGAAAAGGTACAGTAGTGTTTATATGTTTCAGTGAATTCGATATATGGAGGGATAGTGTGGTCAGCACTATGCCAAGCCGTCTTTACTTTCCCCAATGTGAGTTAGGTACCCGTCAGAGCTGGGTGAACTCAGGGACACTCTACTGACTTGAACCGTGATTCGAACTCGAGACTTTCGTGTTAGCAGTCTAGCAGTCTCACCTTTTACCGCCCGATAATTAAAACATTAATGTAAGAGGTAACTATGTAACGAACTATACCAAAACAACGCCATATGATTGTGTCAGATCAAAAGACAGTACAGGACAACCCACAGAAGTGCGAGGACGCGAATTTCAAAGAGGAGAGTTAATAACGTTTTGACTTTTAGAAGATACTAGGCGACCCAGTATTCCGTTCGGAAACGGTCTGTCGGCAGCACTGCACAACGCACACCAATATCCCATTATGCCCACCCCACCCTTTATAGTATTTTCAAATATAGATTATTGTTACGTTTGATTTAAAAAATATAATTTGGAACTGTTACACTAATGTGTATCTGCAATTAATTTAAGACGTAATTCTGCTGATTCAGTATTTAAATATCAACCTAAGTTTTATCGTTGAAAACATGTTTTCATGTTTGGGTTAATTAAAACCCAATTTTTGATTCAGAGTTTAAACCGCACATTTAGTTTCAGGATTGAAATTAAGATTTTAAAACCCACTTTCTGATTAGGAGTTAAAAAAACCACATTTAAGTTGAGATTTGAAAACCCACTTTTGGGCTTAGTTAAAACTCACATTTTATTTTAGCGTTAACTCCTTCTTCAAGTTAAGGTTTAAAAACCCACTTTTGGATTAAGTTAAAACTCACTTATAGTTTAAGCGTTTAAAACCCACCTTCAAGTTACGGTTTAAAAACCCACTCTCGGGTGAGTAAAAACTCACTTTTAGTTTAAGCGTTTAAAACCCTCCTCAAGTTCAGGTTTAAAAACCCACTTTCGGGTGAGTAAAAACCCACCTTGACGTTAAGATTATCGTTGGGGATATCAAAGTTGATGGGCTTGACGACAACACTGATGTGCTTGATGTCGGGGTAGTAGTGGCTGTGGGCGTGTAGCTTCATGGGCATCCAGCTTTTGCTGCGGAACTTGTGCTGTGGTTGGTGGATTCTCCCCCTTCTCTCGGTGTCACGGGAGATAATTTTATACTTGTCACCCCCTGCTTTGGCTGTTGGTGGGGTAAAAATGGAGAGGATGTAGTGACGGAGATATAATTATATATTTGTTTCGTAAATTTAACGCGCGGGCGTATCAACAAGACAGAATTTGTTTATTTTGTCGTTTGGCTAGAAAAGATACCTGAAACGACAAAATAAACAAATTCTGTCTTGTTGATACGCCCGCATGACGAATAGACGTCTATTCGTCATGCCATTTTTAAAGGGAGGCAAGTAGTTAAATTATGTCCACGACTTAGTAGGCGTATAGAAAAGATTCCTTTTTTAGATTAAACAGATGAAGTCGAGGTCATATGATTTTGACCTCGGCATATAAAGAGATAGTGTAGTCAGCACTATGCACAGCCGTCTTTACTTTTGACGTGTTAGGTATCCATCAGAGCTGGGTGGACTCAAGGACGTTCTACTGACTTAGACCCGGATTCGAACTCTAGACTTTTGGTTTAATAGTCTAGTGCTCTATCGCTAGGCCTCGTCGGCCCAAGTCGGCTTATAGGGAGAAGGCGAATAGGCACTAAGATCAATGGGGCATTTGTCAAACAAGCTGTCTACTTGCTATACAATCACAATCAATTATTGGCTATATAATTACTGCGGTATAGGGCTGGTAAGTAGGTCACAAACCAGTTCTACGGCTCAATAAAAACCTGCATGAGCCATAGAACTGGTTGGTGACCTACTTACAAGCCCTATTGGCCACTAAACCCCTAAAATAGACATGCTTCCGAAGGGGTGGGGGAAGGGTATGGCAATGTCCTCCCCTAGAGACGTGTCTGTAAAAAATACTGAAAACATGTTTAAAATAATAGAAAACAATTTTTTACTCTCTGTCGAGGCCAAGTCCGAGATATCCCTGAAAGTGACGTCATCGACGCTGGGGCCACCCTGAGGATCCACCTGGCGGGGACCGTCGTCTGTGAGGGACGGGGGAGGCCGGGGCTCTCTGAGTTCCCAGAGTACCTGGTTATAGTCTGTGGTGCCGCGCTGTTTCCTCGCTGATTCCTCAGACATTTTGTCGCCTGCTTTTTTAATACGGCCCACGACAGAAGACAAAGTTTTGTCTGTATTTTTTTCTGGTTGAAGTTTGTTGGTTTTGGGTGTAGGGTTCTTTGTTTTGTCGTGGTTCAACGGTTGTCTAAAACCGTCGTGATTTTTCGACGTTTTATCTTTCTTGTTGATCTCATCAGGACGAGCATCTATGTGTGTTTTGTCTTCACCTTTACCTCTTTTACCTGACTTAGGACGACCTTTACCCTTTTCTGGTGTTTTGTCTTTATTTGCCTCTGCTAAATTGTCTTTACTTTGGTATGGTCTACCAGCTTTACTTAGCTCGCCTTTGTTATTTTCTATTTGTTCTAGTTTAGTATCCCCTTTTCGTTCACTTTGTTTTTCTTTTCTAACATCACTATGATCTGGTCTGTTATTGGTATCGTTTTCTAGTTTATTATCTTTATTTTGTTCTGGTTTATTCCCCTTACTGTGTTCTGATTCTTGTTTTTTAACTTTACTTTGTTCTTTCTTGTAACCTTTACTTTGTTTTTCTCTATTATCTTTATTTTGTTCTGGTTTATTATCTTTACTTTGTTCTTCTTCACCATCATCACTTTGATCTGGTTTGTTATCTTTAGCATTTTCTGGTCTATCAGTTCCATTTTGTAATAGTATTTTTTCTGATCTATTATCTTTACTTTTTTCTTGTCTGTTATCTTTACTTTGTTCTGCTCCTTCTTTTGTATGTTTACTTTTTTCTGACTTGTTATCTTTATTTTGTTCTGCCTTTTTATCGATACTTTGTGCTGGTCTGTTATCTTTACTTGGTTCTGGTCTGTTATCTTTACTTAGTGCTGGTCTGTTATCTTTACTTTGTGCTGGTCTGTTATCTTCACTTTGTGCTGGTCTGTTATCTTTACTTTGTGCTGGTCTGTTATCTTGACTTTGTGCTGGTCTGTTATCTTGACTTTGTGCTGGTCTGTTATCTTTACTTTGCGCTGATCTGTTATCTTTACTTTGCGCTGGTCTGTTATCCTCTATTTGTGCTGGTTTATTATCCTCTATTTGTGCTGGTCTGTTATCCTCTATTTGTGCTGGTCTGTTATCTTTACTTTGTGCTGGTCTGTTATCTTTACTTTGTGTTGGTTTGTTATCTTTACTTTGCGCTGGTCTGTTATCTTTACTTTGTGCTGGTTTGTTATCTTTACTTCTCTCCTGAGATGTAGATCTACCACCCCTAACGTCTGGCGTATCAAGTATGCTACTTAAAAAAGGCATCGCGTCAACTTTTCTCACTCGCTCTCTACCATCAAGCTGATCTCCCAAGATATTAGGATCTTTTAACATTTTATTGTCAGCGGTTACGTCATTCCTTCCTCTAGGCGCGGTGTTTATTTTTGGCTTAGCTTGCGCAGAATCGACCCCATCTCTTTTGGCCTCTGGTGCCACCCGGACAGCATCTCTGCCCACCGGGAAAGGTCTTCTAGAACTATCTACCACGGTCTTCATCTTGCCTGATTTCCCTCCCATCTCATAAAGTTTACCGTTTGTTCCCTCCGTTTCTCTCCCCTTATCAAATTTCTTTCCCAAGTTCTTTGATCCAAATTGTTGTAAATCATCAGGATCTAGTTCTTGTAGTATATTATAACCTTTATTTTTCCGTTTCTCACTTTTGAATAGATCCAGTATTTTTTTCGTTTCTTCCTCAATTCCATGTATAATATCATCATTAAGCCCCGGTACAGAATCCAAGTTTTCCTGTTTCTTACCACCGTGCCTGCGGTGTGTTTTATATTTTTCTGGCTCGTTCTGACGTTCACTTCTAGAATTCTCCGCATCAAAATCCTCACCCCCCTTGTGCCTACCCCCGGGGCGCGTTTCTCCTGCTTCTGATTTCAAACTCGCTCCGAACCGCGATGTGTTTTCGGAGTTCGCGTCCGCAACCAAATTTCGTTTCGTTTCTTTTCGACCACTCGGCTCAACTTTATCCTTGTTTTTCGATTCTAGTTTTTCCTTACCCCTTAACACATCCACCTTTTCGTCGTTTTCCTTCACATCTGACATATTTTTGACCTTGCTTTTACTTTTCAATTTGTCTTCCTTCTCCGAAACGTCACTTTTCTTTCCCTTCTCCGAAACTTCACTTTTTTCTTCCTTCTCCGAAACTTCACTTTTCTCTTCCTTCTCCGAAACTTCACTTTTCTCTTCCTTCTCCGAAACTTCACTTTTCTTTCCCTTCTCCGAAACTTCCCTCTTCTCCCCGCCCTCCATACGATCAGACTTAACTCGACTTCCGTCATCTCCTGGCACAGCAAGACTCGTGTCAGCTTCCGCTTCCGGTTCCATGTTCACACTTGGTTGTTGGCGGGAATCGAGTCGTCTGTTACCCGCAGTCTCGTCTGCCTGCGCATCAAACGGGCCCTTGTCCGTCTGCTTGAATTTCTTTGAATCCGCTTTCTTGATATCGACGCCACTGCCCAATACAATAGCAGAAATAAGCCTCGCGGTGTCTTTATCTATTGGTGCACCTACACTAGCATCGTCGTTAGGATTATCGAGCGATAATCTTTTGCGGCCAGGTAATCCAGTGGCGTCGACGGGAGTACCGTCAAGGAGAGCTCGTATTAACTGGCGTGTAGCTGCAGACGGGTCATCTGCACGTGAGGTATCTGGGTCATCTGCACGTGACGTGTTTGGGTCATCAGCGCGTGACGTCAGTGAATCATCGGCACGTGACGTCAGTGGATCATCAGCACGTGACGTCACTGGGTCATCAGCGCGTGACGTCAGTGGATCATCGTCACGTGACTGGAGGCTTCCATCTCCAGGCCTCCTGGCTTTGAGCATACCATCCGGTAGTTTACCATCTCTGTCTCTACCATCCGGTAGTTTACCATCTCTGTCTCTACCATCCGGGAGTTTAGCTTCTCTGTCTCTACCATCCGGTATTTTACTATCCGGTATTTTACCATCTCTGTCTCTACCATCCGGTATTTTACCATCTCTGTCTCTACCATCCGGTAGTTTACCTTTTCTGTCTCTACCATCCGGTATTTTACTATCCGGTATTTTACCATCTCTGTTTCTACCATCCGGTATTTTACCATCTCTGTCTCTACCGTCCGGTATTTTACCATCTCTATCTCTACCATCCGGTAGTTTACCTTCTCTGTCTTTACCATCCGGTATTTTGCTATCCGGTATTTTACCATCTCTATCTCTACCCTCCGGTATTTTACCATCCGGTAGTTTACCATCTCTGTCTCTACCATCCGGTATTTTACCATCCCTGTCTCTACCATCCGGTATTTTACCATCCGGTAGTTTACCATCTCTGTCTCTACCATCCGGTATTTTACCATCTCTGTCTCTACCATCCGGTATTTTACCATCCGGTAGTTTACCATCTCTGTCTCTACCATCCGGTATTTTACCATCTCTATCTCTACCATCCGGTAGTTTACCATCTCTATCTCTAAGATCCGTTATTTTCCCATCCGGTATTTTACCATCTCTGTCCCTATCATCCGATAATTTACCATCTTTGCTTTTACCATCCGGTATTTTACCATCCTGTATTTTACTATCTCTTTCTTTGCCATCCGGTATTTTACCATCTCTATCCCTACCGTCTGGTATTTTACCATCTCTGTCTCTACCATCCGGTATTTTACTATTTTGTATTTTACCATCTCTGTCTCTACCATCCGGTAGTTTACCTTCTATGTCTCTACCATCCGGTATTTTACCATCTTTGCTTCTACCATCCGGTATTTTACCATCTCTGTTTCTACCATCCGGCAGTTTACCATCTCTGTCTCTACTATCCGGTATTTTACCATCTCTGTTTCTACCATCCGGCAGTTTACCATCTCTGTCTCTACCGTCCGGTAGTTTACCTTCTCTGTCTCTACCATCCGGTATTTTACCATCCGGTAGTTTACCATCTCTGTCTCTGCCATCCGGAAGTTTACCATCTCTGTCTCTACCGTCCGGTAGTTTACCATCTCTGACTCTACCATCCGGTAGTTTACCATCTCTGTCTCTACCGTCCGGTAGTTTACCTTCTCTGTCTCTACCATCCGGTATTTTACCATCCGGTAGTTTACCATCTCTTTCTCTACCATCCGGTATTTTAGAATCTCTATCTCTACCATCCGGTATTTTAGAATCTCTATCTCTACCATCCGGTATTTTACCATCTCTGTCTGTACCATCCGGTAGTTTACCTTCTCTGTCTCTACCATCCGGTATTTTACCATCCGGTAGTTTACCATCTCTGTCTCTACCATCCGGTATTTTACCATCTCTGTTTCTACCATCCGGTAGTTTACTATCTCTGTCTCTACCATCCGGGAGTTTAGCTTCTCTGTCTCTACCATCCGGTATTTTACCATCCGGTAGTTTACCATCTCTGTCTCTACCATCCGGTATTTTACCATCTCTGTTTCTACCATCCGGTAGTTTACCATCTCTGTTTCTACCATCCGGTATTTTACTATCTCTGTCTCTACCATCCGGTATTTTGCTATCCGGTATTTTACCATCTCTATCTCTACCATCCGGCATTTTACTGTCTTTGATTTTGCCATCAATTATTCTACCATCTCTGTCGCTACCATCAGCATCTCTGCCCACCGGGAAAGGTCTTCTAGAACTATCTTCCACGGTCGTCATCTTGCCTGATTTCCCTCCCATCTCATAAGAAGGTTTCCCGTTTTTTCCCTCCGTTTCTCTCCCCTTATCAAATTTCTTTCCTGTGTTCTTTGATCCAAATTGTTGTAAATCATCAGGATCTAGTTCTTGTAGTATATTATAACCTTTACTTTTCCGTTTCTCACTTTTTAATAGATCCAGTATTTTTTTCGTTTCTTCCTCAATTCCATGTATAATATCATTATTAAGCCCCGGTACAGAATCCAAGTTTTCCTGTTTCTTACCACCGTGCCTGCGTTGTGTTTTATATTTTTCTGGCTCGTTCTGGCGTTCACTTCTAGAATTCTCCGCATCAAAATCCTCACCCCCCTTGTGCCTACCCCCGGGGTGCGTTTCTCCTGCTTCTGATTTCAAACTCGCCCCTGACCGCGATGTGTTTTCGGAGTTCTCGTCCGCAACCAAATATCGTTTCGTTTCTTTTCGACCACTCGGCTCAACTTTATCCTCGTTTTTCGATTCTAGTTTTTCCTTACCCCTTAATACATCCACCTTTTCGTCGTTTTCCTTCACATCTGACACATTTTTGACCTTGCTTTTACTTTTCAATTTGTCTTCCTTCTCCGAAACTCCACTTTTCTTTGCTTTCTCCGAAACTTCACTTTTCTTTACCTTCTCCGAAACTTCACTTTTTTCTTCCTTCTCCGAAACTTCACTTTTCTTTCCCTTCTCCGAAACTTCACTTTTTTCCCCATTTTTCTCCCCGTCTTCCATACGATCAGACTTAACTCGACCTCCGTCATCTCCTGGCACAGCAAGACTCGTGTCAGCTTCCGCTTCCGGTTCCATATTCACACTTGGTTGTTGGCGGGAATCGAGTCGTCTGCTGCCCGCAGTCTCGTCTGCATGCGCACCAGACGGTCTCTTGTCCGTCTGCTTGAATTTCTTTGAATCCGCTTTCTTGATATCGACGCCACTGCCCAATACAATAGCAGAAATAAGCCTCGCGGTGTCTTTATCTATTGGTGCACCTACACTAGCATCGTCGTTAGGATTATCGAGCGATAATCTTTTGCGGCCAGGTAATCCAGTGGCGTCGACGGGAGTACCGTCAAGGAGAGCTCGTATTAACTGGCGTGTAGCTGCAGACGGGTCATCTGCACGTGAGGTATCTGGGTCATCGGCGCGTGACTGGAGGCTTCCATCTTTGAGCATACCATCCGGTATTTTACCTTCTCCTTCTCTACCGTCCGGTATTTTCCCATCCGGTAGTTTACCATATCTGTCTTTGCCATCCGGTATTTTACTATCCGGTATTTTACCATTACCATCTCTATCTCTACCATCCGGTATTTTACCATCTCTATCTCTACCATCCGGTATTTTACCATCTCTATTTCTACCATCCGGTATTTTACCATCTCTATCTCTACCATCCGGTATTTTACCATCTCTTTCTTTGCCATCCGGTATTTTACCATCTCTATCTCTACCATCCGGTATTTTACTATCCGGTATTTTACCATCTCTGTCTCTACCGTCCGGTATTTTCCCATCCGGTATTTTACTATCCGGTATTTTACCATCTCTATCTCTACCATCCGGTAGTTTACCATCTCTATCTCTACCATCCGGTATTTTACTATCCGGTATTTTACCATCTCTATCTCTACCGCCCGGTATTTTACCATCTTTATCTTTACTGTCCGGCATTTTACCGTCTTTGCTTTTGCCATCCGGTATTTTACCATCTTTTTCTCTCCCATCCGGTATTTTACCATCCGGTATTTTACCATCTTTTTCTCTACCGTCCGGTATTTTCCCATCCGGTATTTTACCATCTTTTTCTCTACCGTCCGGTATTTTACCATCTCTATCTCTACCGTCCGGTATTTTACCGTCTTTGCTTTTGCCATCCGGTATTTTACCATCTTTTTCTCTACCATCCGGTATTTTACCATCTCTGTCTCTACCATCCGGTATTTTACCATCCGGTATTTCACCATCCGGTATTCTACCATCTCTATCTCTACCATCCGGTATTTTACCATCTCTGTCTCTACCATCCGGTAGTTTACCATCCGGTATTTCACCATCCGGTATTTTACCATCTCTGTCTCTACCATCCGGTATTTTACCATCCGGTATTTCACCATCCGGTATTCTACCATCTCTGTCTCTACCATCCGGTAGTCTACCATCTCTATCTCTACCATCCGGTATTTTACCATCTCTGTCTCTACCATCCGGTAGTTTACCATCTGTGATTTTACCATCTTTCGGAATACCTTCTTTTAAAATCCCATCTTTATTTTTACCCGTTTCTTTTCTACCATCTTTTGACAAACTATCTTGTATTTTATCATCTTTGGTCTTATTATCTTGTATGCCATCATCTTTAAGATAACCCTGTAATTGTTTCGTTGCGTCGGGTTTAGAGATTGTCTTTTTTAATACCGGTTTGTCAACAAGTTTTTCTTGAGATTGTTTCGTTGATGGAATTAGAGTTTTGCTTTTGCTCGGCGTCTTTATATAATGAAGTTTCGGTTTTGAACTTTTCTTTTCTACATTGCTGACATCACGTGACCCACCCTCGTCTCTGTTAATGGCATCCGTGTCTTTTTTTGTGTCTTTTACTTTCGGTTCAGAGATTGCTTTATAATCCTGCTTAGGTTTTTCTTTTGAATCAAGTTCATTTATTCCCTTACTTTTATCTTTCACCTTAGTTTCATCGCTAGCTTTATTTTCATCTTTTGGTTTAACTTTCTCTTTTTCCTTTATTCCCCCTTGCTCTTTAACCACATTGGGCATTACTGGATCGTTTTCACTGATCAAAACTTCATTTGTTATCCAATCATCATCATAAATTTCATCCATGAAATCCTCCTCTTCCGACACCCAATCCCCATCCGTCTGGACGCCAATACTCCCCACTGATAGTACATCGCTGTCCATCGATTTCTTCACATAACCCTCCGCGTTCAACTCGTCAGGTGTTTTGACATTCCCCTCGGGTGTCTGATCATTAACTCTTCTATCCGGACTTTTCATTTCCTTCGTCTTTCCCTCGGGCATTTGCCCAAAGTCTGGCACCAAATTTGAGCGTCGTGGTGTATCGGAAGTTCCATTCACAATTTTCTTGACCAAAGACGTGCCTGCTGTGTCGTTTGCTGTTGTTGAATCGTCTGTTGTTTCATCGTTCAAGGGGTCTTCTTCCTTTCTGGAGAATTTTCGCCCCCCTGTACCCTGCGGGGTGTTTTGACTCCCCGTGTCTTTTTTCCCACCTCCCCCAGCACCTCCAAAGACCACGGGGTTCACCTCAATATCACGTGACCAGCCTGCTTTTTTAATCACTGCATCGGGGGCTCCCCCCATCGGCTCGAATATTATATTCTTTTTTTCTCCGCGAAGATTCTCCGGAGCAACAGAACGATTTCTTTCACCGTCAAACTCCCTTGAGAGTGAACTCAAGTTTTCTTGCCCCATATCAGAAAGTTGAATCAAATCTTTAAAAACTTGAGCATTTTCCGGCTTGACGATTTGTCTAAGAAATTGATTTTT